AGGATGACCTCAGCTGTCTGCCGGGACCATGGCCTGGAGGGAACCTCCTTCAACAAGGGGTGGGGCCGTGCCCTGGTGCGGGGTAGGTTCCCGGAGTCTTCAGCCGGCAGGAGACAGACTGCATTGCCTCAGTCCCTGCCTCTGTTCTGTGGGGAATCAGCTCATGAGGGTTGTTGTTGCTGTTGACACTGCTTTAAAGATGCTCCAGGAATGGGGATATTCAGGTGGCCTTCCTTACTAGCAGGAAGTTCTTTCTTGTGTCTGACCTAAGTAACACAGCACGTTTAGCACTTCACATGTGCCCAGAAAGAGTTCACAAACAAAAGCATTCTGGAACCTTTGGGAGAAAAAGAAAATGTTTGTTCCACCTTGCCGCTGCTAGGTGCTGTTTTGAAATATGGGCTTTATTATTATTCAGATATGGTGAGACCAACAGATCAGGAGACGAGTGCCATAGAAAAAATAATTGGTTATACTTACAAATCCCAAGAGGAGGGGGCATACCAGGCCACGGGGGGCCACACAGGGAAGTGCTGGGGTGGGCCAGGGGGCAGAGGGAGAGGGGGAACTGGTGGGCAAGAGCCTTTATTGTGGTTTCCATGGGAAGGAACAGGCGAGGCAGGGTGACTAGGTTTAGGATTGGCTAGTCTGAATAATCTCAGTGGGCTCTGGGGCACAGGGCTGTCCCTAGTTATCTGATGAGGGCAGGTGGATAGGGGCCCTGAGTGTGAGAGGCAGACAGAGGAGGTGGTCAGGGGTCTGGGCTCTGATTGGTTGGTTTGCATTTGAAAGATGTGCTCGGGGTGAGTTGTTTACTATCTCTGGGAAATGGCTAATCCTGGGAGGGACAGTCCCTCCAGGGTCGGCAAGACCCCAGATGTCAAAGCATCAGACGCCCAAAACAAAAGGCATGGTTAATATAGGTCTCTTTTTAGCCTGTCACTGTGCATGGCTTATACTGCTTGGAATAATGATATTCAGTTTATTATTATTATTTGAAATCCACTTATAGCACATTCCTAGCAGCATTATTAATAATAATAGAAAATAGAAACAACTCGAACGGCCATCCGTATAAAACTGGTTAAGTAAACAATAAGCTCATCATGCTATGTATATGTCATTCGCTGCCGTGTATACATCGAATAAAAGTGCACCCTACTGTGGCCAGCCTGGTGGCACAGTGGTTAAGTGCACACTCTCCTCTTCGGCGGCCCAGGGTTCCCGGGTTCGGACCCCGGGCGTGGACTGAGACACAGCTTGTCAGGCCATGCTGTGGCGGCGTCACATATAAAGTAGAGGAAGATCAGCACGCATGTAAGCCCAGGGACAATCTTCCTCACACACACACAAAAAATGCGCACTGATGTCTACTGTCCATGGAGAGGTACTAAAATTTTAAAAGTTGTAGAATGATTCATATACACAATACAATCCCATGTATGTAAAAAATGAATAATAAATCTTTAGATGGTATATGTACATATCTGTACATAAATGAATAGAAAAAAATGTATGGAAGAATACACACCCAAGAGTTAGCAGGTTTGACCTCTGAGGAAGGGGTCTCAGGTTGGGTTGTCCGGGAAGCAGGCGCTGAGATGGAGTCAGGAGTGCCAACGGTTTATTGGGAGGACCACCCATGAGAGAAGAAGAGGGGAAGCAGGGTGGGGCAGAGGGAGCCGGCGGGTAGCAAGGCAGATCTGAAAAGTCTCTGCCCACCCAGCGGGAGCTCCGAGCAAAGGGTGCCCATCAGAGCAGTCCCGCGTTGGGAGGAAACGGCCAGCCCGGGTGCCACTGCCTTCCTCAGCTGTTGGCCGAGGGGGCGAGCTGGAGTTGCGGATCAGAGCCGGGAAGCTCACCCTTCCCAGTGGCTGGAGGGCGATCAGAGCAGCTGGGCTCCACGTCTGCCACAGAGGACATGGGGGGTGGGGAGGAGGAGGTGGCAGGGAAGCTTTTACTTTCCTAGCGCTCGACTTTGTACTTGGAGACAGTATCCATATACTATGTGAGTTATAAACAGAGGGACAGACAAATATTCTAACTGGCTCCTATCTGTGACTCCTCCCCCTTCTTATCGAAAGTCCTCGAATGCTCTCGGCAGCTGCAGTGGCCCAAGAATGCACCCAGCTGCGGCATTTACCCAGTCTCTTTCTGTCTGGCTTTAGCTCAGAAGCCCATATGCTCGTATGCGCCTTCTCCTCTTCTGACGATGCCGTCCTAGTATCATTAACATTCCTTTCCAGGAAGGAGTTTGCGGCACTTTGCAGACCCAGTGCGCCAAGTGCGATACTGGGGATGTGAAGCTGGGGGCAGAAGCAAGAGCTGAGGTCCTCACAGGGGAGATGGTGAGTCACATTTGCAGCTTCACGTTTTTCCGGGCAATGAGTGCTTCTTACCAAAGGAGAGGTTCAGGTGAGGGGCATTAGCATCCAAGAGGAGGGGGCTCAGTTCTGACCCTCCCAAGCATGGTTCAGATCAAAGCAAGCTTCTTAGATGGGTGGCATCGGGACCTGGCCTTAAAGGATGGAGAAGGAAGGAAAGAGCATTCCAGTCAAAGGGAACAGCATGAATAAATGCAGGAGGTGGGGATATGCAGTATATTTATAGGCTCCAACAAAATTCAAAAGTCCGGAAGTAGGATGGCTTCCAGGAAAGTCCCAATCCAGTGTCTCCTGTAATATCTCCCTGGATTGACTTTCTCTTCATCATGCCATATGGCCTCACATGGTGTTGGATTCATCCCCAAATTCCAAACAATGGGTCCCCTGCAGCTCCAGACTGCTTACAAAATGGCTGCCTCTGTTCCAGACCTACATCCTCACACCACACTGGCCAGGGTAAAAGAGAACTACTCCTTCTGACAGCTACCAAGGAAGACACTGTTAGCATCACTTTTTCATAAGGTTCCAGCAAAAGTTTCCTGATGTCTCATTGGCTCTAATTGGGTTATATGCCTATCTCTGGACAAATCACGGAGGCTGGGGTGGGTTTCTAGCTCCTGGAGGTACTTATTGGTTGGAGATAGTTTCAGCTTGAAGATAATACCAATTTCTGTGGGGGCAGACAAGCTTCAGAATTTACCATTTACTCCTAAATCTAGAACAGGAGTTGAGATACGAATGTAGCAAAAACCTTCAAAAGCATCGTCAGAAGAAAAGACAGGACAACGTAGAGATCTATAATTTTTTTCCCTGCTACATTTTAATTGCCCTTCGCTGGCATGCACTGCATAAATTAAGAGCTAGTTAATGCTGTAATGTGTAAAACAATTTCATGCATCTTAAATATTGCACTTGTACTTTAATTCCACATTAAGTGGTCCCCTGAAATTTTTAAATTTACAAAGTCACTGCTGTGCTACATGAAAAAGGTGCTAATTAAGTGTTAATCAGTAGGCAGATAACCTTCCCTGAACCCTGCCCAAGGTCTCCAAAATGACCCATTGCCAGAGAATTCGATGTGATGGCGACAGAACAGAGAACGCAGACACAGACGCGAAATGGTTTCTTAGCCACATCCCAGCCAATTAAGGCAGATTTGCCTATTATGCAGCTCTAATTAAATGACATCCACCATAGTGGACACAAGGCTAATAATAATAATAGTATTTAGTCCTGGCAGAGCTTTCCATATTCAAAACACAGGGAAAACTCTAGGTAATGAACAAGTGGGCGTCCCTTTCTGGGCAAGGAGAGGGCTTCCTTTGGGCGGTCCTGCTAAAAATCTGAAGGCATGCACAAGAATGGATAAAATGAAAAGAAATGGTTCCTCTTTGAAGGGACTCACCATCTTATAAAACAGCGCTACTCAAAGTGTGGTCCATGGACCAGTGCTGGTCCACAATAAGATAAGCACAGGAATTGAGAGTAACCATTCTGAAACCTTGAAAGCAACTTGACCTTGCTGTGACATCCAAGTGGGTGATCAGTGGACTCTTGTTGAACAGGAAACAGATTAGTTCAAACTTCCACAGTGAGTGGCATTTTGGCATGAGCTCTGTAATAGTCAGACACAGTAAGACCACATATCACTCTATGATGGACTGGAAATTACACACACACACACATATTTTCACCAAAGATGGTTTGAGAAGCCCTGTCAAAGACCTATCGGTGTAGAATAAGGGGATATGGGTTTAGTTACACCCTCATAAGTAAAGGAGAGGAGGCTTAGCAGCATGCTATTTCACACCTCTGTATTTTTCCTCGTGCTATTTCTCTGCTTGGAATGTTCTGTGTGTCCCCAGCTCCTCCACTTCCCACTCAGCCTCTTTCACACACATGAAGTCATCTCAGTTCCTGGAAAGCGCCGCTAAGATACTACTTCCTTCAGGAGGGCTTCAGTCTGGCCCCTGCAACAGAGCTAGCCCTCCCTCCTCTGCGCTCCCTCAGTCCCCTGCACACTGCACTACTGCACTTTCCACATGGTGCTGAGTGCATTCATGCCGCTTTGCCCAACAGGACTGAGCGATCCTTGAAGGTAGGGCTGATGCATTTTAGCTTTGAATTCCTAGTGCACAGCATACAGTAGATGCTCGTTAAATGTTTACCAAATTCAGTTTATTTATTTATTTTGTGGTTTTATTTTATTGAGGTCATAATAGTTTATAACATTGTGAAATTTTATTTGTCAGACATCATATATATGTGCCCCTTTACCCTTTTTGCCCACCCCGTAACCCCCTTCCCCTCTAGTAACCACTAATCTGTTCTCTTTTTCCATGTGTTTATCTTCTACATATGAGTGAAATCATATGGTGTTTGTCTTTCTCTGTTTGGCTTGTTTCACTTAGCATAATGCCATCAAGGTCCAACCATGTTGTTGCAAATGGGACGATTTTGTCTTTTTTATGGCTGAGTAGTGTTCCTGTGTGTGTGTGTGTGTGTGTGTATACCACATCTTCTTTATCCATTCATCAGTGGATGGGCCCTTGGGTTGCTTCCATGTCCTGGCTATTGTGAATAATGCTGCACTGAATACCAAATTCAGTTTTTTAAAATTGTGTAAAATATACATAACAAAATTTACCATATTAATTAATCACTTTTAAGTATACAGCTCAGTGGTATTAATTACAGTCACATTGTTGTGCAACCATCGCCACCATGCATCTGCAGAACTTTTTTCATCTTGCAAAACTGAAACTTTATCTTCATTCAATGCTAACTCCCCATTCCTCCCTCCCCACCCAGCCCCTGGTGAGCACCAGTCTGCTTCCTGTCTCTATGCATTTGATGACTTTAATACCTCATACCAGTGGAATCATATAATATTTGTCCTTTTGTTTCTGGCTTATTTCACTTAGCATGTCTTCAAGGTTCGCCCATGTTGTAGCATGTGTCAGAATTTCCTTCCTTCTAAGTGAATTCAGTTTTAAAATCTTTAAAGTTATCAGACAGTAAATGCAATGAGTAAGGAGGGCATTCCCCTTCTAGTTCTGCTTGTATTTGAAGCAGGGAAGAACAGAGAGAAAAAAAAAGGGTGTTGATGATCCAGGAGGTGGCAGCAGAAAACAAAGGGCCCAGCGCTCTGCAGAGTCCTCAGCGCCAGTTCCGGCCCGTTTGCTCTGGTTCCTGCTTATTCAGCCTCTTGAAAGTTGGAGTTCCTAAATCTGGACAGCATGCCCAGCAAGGAACGCACCTGAGAGGCCTTCTGACAATGGGCTGCAGCACACAAATGACAGTAGAGAGGGACTCAAAGTCCTAGCTGTGGTCTCACCAATACCCACTGGGTGACCTTGAGCAAATGACCTAACCACTCTGAGCCTGGTCTGTAAAATAGGGAAAATAATACGGTGCGCCTTACAGGCTTGTTGAGGGGATCTGGTGAGATGATACGTATAAACACTTGGTAAACTTTAAAGTACTGCATGTGCCAGTTATGGTTGCTTTTATGACTAGTATAAAGGCTATAATAAAGAGGGAGAAAACAGCACGGCTCATTATTCGCACTTCCTGATGAGAAAGTGAAGAAGAGTGACAGCATCGTTCAGCCTTCATCTTGGGACATTTCTGATTTCTTTCTTTTTACCTTCTTCTACCCTCCAAACCTTTGCCTGCGGAGGAGTTCCTGGTCCCGCTCAGCTGAATGCCATTAACTGCCACTACACTGCCATTGTGAGAGACAGAGAGGTAGCACGGAATTCATTCGTTCAGGGCATCAGCAAACACGGGTTGGAAGCGTGAGCTGGGCAGTGGGTTGGGTGCTGGTGACAAAAGGTGAAGGAGCCAAGTGGTTTGCCCTGGAGGAGCCCACAGTGTAGAGCGCGACCGTAGGGAAGCAGATGTTCACAACATCTTCCATTTGCCCCTCCAGGCGCACGCTCCGCCCCCTTCCTCTCGGCCCTGTGCCCCAGGAAGCCGACCCCTCTGCACTGATCTCAAAGGGCTCCCCGCCCTCTGGCTTCCTGTTGTCCGGCCTCGTCAAGAGCTCAGAGGCTGGAGGAGAATGAGGATAAGATTTATTCCCCAACTTCCTCCCTGTGAAGTCTGCTTGGGCTGACTGACCCATCCTCTGAAGGTCCCTGCTCCTCTTAAGGTGGCCTTCTCCGCTCCCCTCTGCCTCCTTCTCAGCTTGGATAACTACGACCTCGTCTCATCCCTTTGGGCCCCAAGGTGGTAACAACTCCACTGCTAACGGCTCCTGCTTCTTGTACTCTCCCTGTGGTTCCCCTGCACCCACATGTTTGTCGATGGTCCCTTTGTAAAGAAATACTTCTCCAACTATCTTAACTGCTTCCTGTCGGGACCCTGCCTGATCCACCTACCATGTGGCCAGGGCCATTCCAAGCAGGGCAAGTGCTGCTCCCCTCTCCCACAGCCCCTCCAATCCGGCTCTTCTTGTCCTCTTCTCGTTTCAGGCTTCAGTGGAAGGAAACAAAGGAGTCGGGCTATATCCAAGAAGATGGGAGTTGAGGTTGGGGAAATCTCCTGTCATGAGAGGCCCCGAAGAGCTCTTTGGGTGGCATCCCTGGGCTTGGCGTGGGGAGAGGGTGGGGGTGGCGGAGAGGGAGGGAGGCACAAGAAAGTCTCATTGTCAGGAATGCTGCTTGCCCGTGGGTGCACATACCTCACCCCATGTGGCCTCCATGGAGTCATTTATTGACCATCATTAAAGTGGAGCCTGACCTCCTGAGGGTCTTTCTGTTCCAGGCAGATCAGGAGCCTGCGGCTTGTCTGGAACATCAGAGTATGACAGTCACCAGTCACCACGTTCTCTCCTTCAAGAACCTGCTTGGGTCTGCTTCCCAAAGATGCTGCTCCCCAGCCCCCACTGAGGGGCCTGAGAGCATAAGACCCCCCCCTTGGCCACAGCTGATTGCATAAGGGATGGGCACCTGAGCAGACTGAACCAATCAGCTGCTGTCCCAGGAATTTGGCCTTGGGACCTCTTGGCAGGTCTCGGCAGTCTTTGTTGGCTGCTTGAATGCTTTGTGCCAGGCACAGTTGTGGGCCCGGGGTAGACAGAAGTGAACAGGCCAGGGAAGGCCACCTGAGGCGGCCATTTTCCACCATGTGCACAGAGCAGCAGAAAAAGCTGAGAGAGACAAAAGAAGCAATCTCAGAGAAGAGCAGAGATCAGAGACCTCAGAGCAGCAGAGACAGAGGAGGAGAGGACGGAGCTGCCAAGCTTTCTGCTGGCTCCCCAGTTGCTGGTTTCCCGTCCTCAGAGGCCGGCTGCACTTCCTGTCCTTGAATCTCTGAGATAGCCACATGTTCTTCCCATAAATTCTCCCTTTTTACTGAAGCTTGCGCAAGTGGGCTTCTGTTTTGTGCCGCTAGACTGTTCCTGCCCGAGGCACACCACGTGACACAATTAGCTCACAGTCCCTAAGGGGCAATTTATCCTTTTTGCAGACTCTCTGCCATAAATTTTAAATCTCCACCTGGCTTCCCCTTGCCAACCAGTGAGTGTCCTTCTGGGTTAACTTTTGTTCGTGCAGGCGGCCAATGAGCTCGTGTCACTAGGTCCAATGGCCTTTCCGTGCCCCTTCCCTTCCTGTCCCCTCGCTGCTCCACACGGCTGACCGTTCCTTCCTCCCTCACAGTCTCCCCCCACGTGGATCCTCTGACACCCCTCTCTCCTGCGTCTCTTCCTCCCTCTCCTCCTGCTCTCCATTTGTCTCCTTGTCTGGCTTTTCTGACGACTCAAGTGCCCCACTTTGTTTGCTCTGTAAGCCTCTTCTTAGCATTCTCTCTGGCTCTCTTGGTTATCCCCTCCCTCACTGTGGCTTCCATCATCACCTCTCTCCAGACCCAAGTTTGTACCTCGGTTTGGTCCTCCTGGATCCTCATTCCCATCCAGCTGCTGAAAGCATGATTGTGGGCATCCTACCGGCCCCTCAAACTTCGGGTGCTCCAAAGTGGTCTCAATATTTCCCCTCCCAAGCCTGACTCTCCTCTCGTGTTCCCTAGTTTGGTTAATGAGGCAGAAAGTTTCTGTGCCCTTCATCCGCGACTCTCAGAGCTGGGAAATTTTGGCAGGGAATTTTGGCCAGTCTCCTCATCCCTTTGCCAGGAAATACCCACCTTGGGCCTCACTCAAACCATGATTCCAATTTCTTTGACTTTCTCCTTGCTGCTCACATTAGAATGAGTCACATGAGATCTTTGGCGCTGAGGTGCTCCCTGTCCCTCACACCGAGGCCCATTGGTCCCCCCGAGGACTGTGAAGGAAGGAGGCCCCATGTGGCCTGTATATTATCCATGTAGAGGCCGGAGGCCATCAGCTCCTCGGAGAGGTTGTTCTGGAGGCATTTGCTCCCCCAGAGGGATTCCACTTCCGTATGGGCATCAGAAACCCTCCATTCAGCGACCTAGGAGAGCAGGGGGAGAGCGAGTCTGTCAGGCCACGGCTACAGGGAGGGCAGGCTGTGAGGAGCAGGAGGGCCCACCCAGACTCAGTCAGTTTTGAGCTCAGTGCAGGTGCTGAACGAACGTCACTGCCTTCACCTTCACGTGCCCCTCACTGCACTGCCAGAGTGACCCTGATCCTCACCATTCACAGCATAAGGACCTGTTCAGGAGGAAGTGTGTTTCCTGGGGGTGCAGTAGTGAGGGAAACGCTGGCTGCCATCACAGATAAAGCCCCAAGGTGCAGTGGCTTGCCACAAGGAAGATTATTTATCGCTGACATAAACTTTAAAATCGGTGTTCCTGAAGGACAGGAGGCTCTCCTCTCCAGGGGTGATTCAGGGACCCTTCCATCTTGTAGCTCTGCTGGACTCCTCTGTACCAAAGTGTGGAAGGCAAAAGAGCACATGGGAGCTTTCTATGGGCCAGACCTGGAGGTGGTGTCCATCTTTTCTGCTCACACGCCATTGGCCAGAACAAGGTCATGTGGCCACACCTGGGACATATAGTCCACAAAACCAGTTTGGCAAGCAGCTCACTCATTTCTGTCCCAGGGGCTAACACATTGACGGCAATAAACCACTGGTCTCAAGACTTATCCTCCAGCTGCTGCAGAGGGAGATTCTGAGGGCCTGGGGCACAAAACAGGACCATCTGGATGGAAAGGCCTCTGGGGGAAGAGGGTGCAGAGGGGGAGATGGGAGGCCTGGGCTGCCAGGAAACAGCCTGACTGGAACTCTGAGGAGGGCCCTAAAATCAGAGAAGTAGCCTTGAATTTGAGGTTACAATGTTCACCTACTTTAGCACGCTCACCTGACTTGTCCCTCAACTCCCGCTACACACAGGCCCTTGTGTGGAGAGCCTTTGAGAGTCTGCCTGGGCCTGCTGTTATGAGGGAGCAACTACTTGACCTCCAGCTGGGGCCAGTCACCCCAGACCCTGTGCTGCTGTGTCCTAGAACTGAGCAGTGACTTGAGGAGGCAGCCAGTGGGAGAAGAAAGAGATGATCCGAGGCACTTACACACCCAACAAGAGACTCATCTGTAAAAAGAGGTAATGGATTGGGGCCATCCCTGTGGCCTAGTGGTTATGTTCAGCATGCTCCACTTCGGCAGGCCTGGTTCAGTTCCCAGGCACAGACCTATACCAGTTGGCGGCTGCCATGCTGTGGCGGCGACCCACATACAAAATAGAGGAAGATTGGCACAGATGTTAGCTCAGGGACAATCTTCCTCAGCAAAAGAGAGAGAGAATGGATC